TTTTGTAAATAGGGTTTATGGAACACAGCCATGACTATTTATGCATTGTCTATAGCTGCTTTCACACCCTGGCAGCAGAGTGGAATAGCTGGAACAGACTGTCTGGCCCACAAAGCTGAAAATATTCACAATCTGGCCCTTTACAGAGATATTTGCCAACTGGGGCTTAGTGTGTGGGCTCTGTGGTCAGAGCCCAGGTTCATGTCAAGGCTCCATCGCAGCAAACCTCTGAATCTTCGTTGACTTAATTAACCTCTCTGAGCACAAAGTAAGAGCTTAATAAACAGCACTCACCACTCTTATATTCGCTGTCACATTCCCCATCACCATCCTCACCCTCACCCATTACCACCCTCACTATCACTGTCACCATCACCATCATTCCCACCATAACTGTCAGGCACATCGCCACTATCATAAGGTGACCAGACGTCCCGCTTTTGGTGGGACAGTCCCGATTTTTAACAATTTCTCCCACAGCGTTTTTAAAAAGTCCCAATTTTTGGAAAGAATGCACGACAAACTAGGGAACGGTGGGGAAGGGAATATATGGTTTTTAGTTGCTGAAAAGGTTAATGTAACTCCATTTGGGAATGAAGAGGTTAATGTAACTTCATTTGGAAATGAAAAGGCTAGTGTAAACTCCCTACTCCCCTCCTGGGCAAGGTCACCCAGGTGGAATTAGTATCAGAAGCAGACTGACTCCCTCCCTCACTTCTAGGCAAGGACAATTAGCTCAGAAGGAGACAAACTGTCTGGAACAAACAAGTAGCTTCCCCCTCTCTAGAGGGTCCCTAACCATAAACAGCTCAGCCAATAGCAGCCCTGCCTGACAAAACACCCGATGAAATTCCTCTATGTGCTTTAAAAACCTCAGCTCGCTTCACTAAGGGGGTCACCCTTCCTCCAGCCACACTGAAGGGAAGAATGGCCCAGGCATATGCTTGCAAATAAAGCACTTTTTGTCCTTACGTGTGTGTGGTGGTCTCTCAGCAGCAATTCTGGTCCCAACACTGCCATGTGGCTATTTAGCCAGGATATGAGTTTTATATTATTTTTGTTAATTTTATAATGTTAAACTTTAATAATAACAAATAATTGTTGAGAACTGATTATCGAGAAC